TTGAACAGCAGCATGGCACAGCTTTTGAAATTCTCCTTGGTTTCAAAAATAGTTTGCCACACAGCTTGAGAAGCAGTCATCCAAGAAACACAAATCCAAGTATTTTGGACATATGGAACCAGTTGCACGGTTCTTTGGATTCTAGACTTTAAATAACAACTACATTTTCTAGCATTCCAAACCAGAAATCGAAGTAATTACACTTCTCTTGCATGTGTACTTGTAACGATTTCATGTTTTGTGTGTGTGTGACTTTAAAAGTTTGGTTTGCATGGCTGTGATTTTCTAGAGTGCTGGACTCAAGCAAGTGATATGATTGGTGAGTGACAGAGAGAGGGAGGGGTTTTGGAATGGATGCTGTGTGGATGAACCAATATGTCAGTCAAGAGTGGCAGTTGAAGGGTGACGGTTAGATAGAGATGTCTGTTGGAAAAAGAGTCAGCAGAGAGTGCTGTGTGAAAGCAGTTGTTATAAGTTCTGTCTAGTAAAAGAGTTAAGCAGTTTGTTCGTTTTAAGGTCTGAGAGAGAAGTCTTGTGTGTGTTATGAAAAGTTAAAGCATAAAGAAACAGTAACCATATATGGTCTAAGGCCCCTCTTTTTACTCAAATCAATGAATCTGGCATTATTCCTCAATCATGGAAGCATGCAGTGATAGTTCCAATACATAAGAAAGGCCCAAAAACAGTTCCTACTAACTATAGGCCTATAAGCCTGCTTTCAGTAATAGGCAAAGTGTATGCAGCTTTTTTAAATCATAAACTGCTGGACTGGATAAAAACAGAATCTATAATTTACCCTGAGCAAGCGGGATTTAGAAATGGAGTCTCAGCCTTAGATCATTGCGTGGTACTGTATCATCTTGCCGATAAATACTCTTCTTATTCAAAGGGTTCCCTTTATGCAGCATTTATGGATCTCAGGGCAGCATTTGATTCAGTCCCCAGATGCCGCATCTGGGCCAAATTGTCCAAAACATCTCTAGACAAGAGACTTCTTTGGCTGATTTACAAACTGTACGAGAATCCTACTGCACAAATTCGTTGCGGAGTAGATGGGCAACTTACAAATACCATTCATCTCTCTAAAGGTGTCAAGCAAGGATGCTTATTAGCCCCCACGCTTTTTAATCTTTATATAAATGATGTTGTCCCATATATCAAAAAAACAATCTGTCACGCACCCATACTAGCGGGACAGGAAGTTCCTATACTACTTTATGCAGATGATGCAGTGCTGCTATCCAGATCAGAAGTTGGCTTGCGTAAGCTAGTGAATGCTTTTACTGATTACTGTATCCAAGAGGGGCTGATGATCAATTATGAGAAATCAAAAATAATGGTTTTTTCTAACAAACCTTGTTTAAAACAAAGATCATGGAAGGTTAAGGGTGGGGAGATAGAACAAGTGTCTCATTTCAAATATCTGGGGATAGTGTTCAGCTCCAGTTGCCGCTGGAAACATCATATAAGAGCAGCAACTGAAATCGCTAAATTAAATTCTAATGCCCTCCTTAAATTCTATTATTCAAGAGGCGGCCAGTATGTCCCAATGGCCATTGCAGCTTTTAATGCGAAAGTTACTTCACAATTTTTATATGGGGCTGCGATCTGGATTAAAGAAATTTCGGAATTATCAGATCAGATCCTTCTCCAGTTCCTGCGTAAAATTGCAGGAGTCCCTAAATGTGTCGCAGGGACGGCACTTAGAGAAGAATTCGCACAATGCTCCTTTGAGTCAAGAGCCTGGAAGGCAGCCTTTAAATTGAGACTGAAAGTTCTTTATATGACACCTAATGCTCAAGGAGGTCTTCTTTATCTTTTAAAAGGGGATAATTATAAATGTACGTGGGCAAAACATATAGATAACAAGCTGGAGTGGATTGGTCTCGCCCCTACGGGGCTTAATAATTTAAATTATCAAGAAGCGCTAAATTTGATGAGATTGAGGGTGACAAACATTGACCGACTCAGCACTTCAATTCGTGCTAGGCGAGTATGCTCCAACTCTGCCTTAGGGATTGTTCCACCTAAGAAAACTCCCTCATATATGAGCTTCCTTACATCCCCCAGATCTAGATATGTCTTCACGCTTGCAAGGTTGAATGTTTTTCCAACTGTAGAGCTAAGTGGCCGTTTTGCTAAAATACAGTACTCAAATAGATTGTGTAATTGTGGATCAGGTGCAATAGAGACCTTAGATCATCTTATGTTATTTTGCCACCAATGGATTGACCCCAGATCCTGCTGGATTACTCCTATTTTACAAAGATATCACCTCCCTATGGAACCCTGGGTGATAACCATACTATTAGCTGATGAGGACCCTGAAACGACTCGCTTGGTGGCAAAATATCTTTCAATAGTGCTATCTTTAAAGCGGCTTTGAAATGTTATGAGTACCTTTTGTATACAATTTTAAAATTTTAAAACTAATTTCCATAATATCATGGGATTTTATAGAATTCATTGAAGTTTATAAAATGTGGTCTGATGTTACTGATTATGTTTACTAGCTTTTATTGTAAAGGCGTTCTGTCTAAATTTCTTGTAATTTTATGTAATGCACTTTATATTTGTTGTTTGCATGTTTGGCTTAAGACCTCGGGTCAATGAAGCTAATAAATGAAATGGAAATGGAAAAAATGGAAAAACAGATGCTCCAGTGACTTTCCCATGCTTCAGTGGGACAAGAAGTCCAATCACTCTGTGATAGAAAATAATTTGCTAATTTCAGTAAATGCCACAAAACCTGTAACATGATACATGTAAGACATCTGTGTTCAGTACATTTCTAAATAGCCACTTGCCTCTTCACTAGGTGTGGGAAAGCCTAAATTTCCCTGGTGGCAGCCAGATTAACCATAGGAAAATAAAACATAAGAACTTTTAAAGGTAAACCAGACCTCCCCAGATAAGAGGTCGTCACAGTACTGCTCTTTTTCTCTTGGTTTATATGTTGTAAGAGTTCTTTCACAATCACAAGTGATGTAATGCGATGAATGCCATTTGGTCTGGAATGCGTCACTTCTGAAGTTGACGCAACATAAAAAGTGGCAATTTCATATCATTGTATACTTTTTGTTAACGCAGCTTTAAAATACAATAGGAATCTGTGGCCCCTTAATGACTACTTTGTTGTACTTCAGACTTATATCGGCAAAAGCATACCATGTCTTTCAGCAGAAGAAAGAGGCTGGGGCAGTACCATGATCCCTTAAGTCAGATGCTCTCAGCCTCACCTTTTCAGACGGCATAGAACAAATATGCTGGCACTGTTTTGCTCCCTTTGGTGGGCTGCTGGCAAGCCTGCCCCTTTTCCTAACCTTTGCAGGGAGGAGTAGGAATGGCATTTAATCAGGAAATAAATTCAGTCTTTAAGATGCCACAGGTCTCTGGGGTGTGTCCCCCCCCCCCTTTCGTACCAGTTAATAGTCAACTTTCTGGAGCATCTGTGCTTTGCTTTTGGTTTTGTGTTTTGCCCAGAGACAAGATGTTGGATGTGTTTGTGTAGTTCATGGTAGCTGAAATGACTTGATGGAGCAAGTGTAAGAGTACAGCAGAATTCTAGCTTCAGTGTATAGCCCTTTTTAGTCCCATTGGTCTGACTGCAGCACATGTTACCAGTTGTAATGATGATAAATCCTGTGGTATGGGCACAGACAGCATAACCCAATATTTGGTATTTAAAATACCTTTATCCTTGTCATGGTAATAATTAAAAAACTGCAGCTATAACCCTGGATCTGTTGAAATCAAAGGTTCAGACACTGGCTTCAAGAAAATTAGAATTTCAGCTTACTGATACAAGAATACACAATATTCAGAAGCATGAGCTGACAAGGCTTTGCAAACCCAATAAAGAAAGAATGTTATCTACCTTATGCCTTTGGGGGAAAAGGTGAAAAGCCTAATCAATAAGAAAAAGTTATATTTGAGTATAGTCAGTTTCTTTCAAAAGAAATATTTCGTTTACTATAACTGAAAGCTAGAATGAAGGGGCCAGCAAGAAATTTATTAGTCAGCTAATTTTATATGACCAAAATCTGGTTTACAGATCTTTGTGGTAGACATATTGTCATGTTTTCTCAAGGATTCCAGAAAACAAGAGCACTGACATACTCACCAAAGGGAAGCCAGAGTATTCCTCTGGTGGGTTAGGCGTGATGTCAAGAAGTCTTGAAAAGAGGAAGGCCTTTTGGCCAACAGGAAGAATTCAGTAATACAGACATTAGTAGTTCAAATCTTTTTTTATGGGCAAAATACTTTGGCTACATCCTCACATGGGGTTTGGCATAGCAGGATCTCTCTGAAGAACTGATGTCTATACATGGCAAAGTATGGCTTAAGTTGGCTTTGAAAAAAAGCCTTGGGAAATATTTGTGTAGTTTTTCATTTGAACTAAATTCTCCTGTGGTGCTGCATCGATTGTCAGATTAGCCAATTTCAAAAAGGTCAAAGAAAGACTGTGACCTTTTACTGTTTTTAGAAAAGTACTTTAGCAGGACCCCTGTGCAATCATATGTGATGAGGCTTGCCCTTTGAAGCATTGATATGGCTTTACCACTTGCCAACTATTGTCAGCTATTTGGTATATTAATTCTGATGGTGGTACAAGCAGGCATCTGTCAGAATAGTGCTAGAATATACATCCTTAAAATGAAGGTTCAGTTCAGAAGAGAAAAATCTCTCCCTGTTAAATCCATAATTACTAGTTAAAATTCCAAAAGTAAATAACTATTGGGTGGAAAATAAATAAGAACATAAAATCCATCAACAGGCATATAATAATAATCTAATAAGACTTCTGGGTCTCAGTATAAGATCCCTAACCTTCTCTCTCATCTTTAAAAGAATTACCGACTATAGGAATATATATTAGTTGATAGCCTGTACTCCTAGTTTGTACAGATAGGAGGGAGTCATCAGGTCCATGTAGATCCATCCTGACATTTATTTCTGAAATCCATCCATAAACAACCTTTGGGTAGTTTGATGCCGATTTAGGTTTTGATGGATGGGATACTGCAGGACCGCCTCATTACTAATCTCACTTCAATATCTGGCAGGCTTTTCTGTTTAGTCTGTAAACAGCTTTCATCTGTTGCTGCTAGGTGGAGATCAAAGCGCAAAGAAACAGATTTTTTCCTTAAGCGAGGGTTGTCCTTAAAGAAAGAGCCTTCCCATTCTTTAATTACTTCATCCACTTTTTCTGTCCTGAAATAAATCAAACATTATATACAGGAATTAATGTAAAGCATATCCTCAAGTGAGGCTATTTACTAAGTGATGAAAAATTACAAGACCTGACAACCTGACCACACACAGAGAGAGGTTTAATAAACCGAAGGAGCAGTACTGTGCAGAAGTTAAAATGTTTGTATTCACCAGAAAGTCTGCATGGAGCCTTATGTGCATGCAGGTGTGTGGTCTGTCATTGTGCATATAAAGCTTGCACACATACAATATGCATGTGTAGGATTCTGTGTAGTCATTCAACTGAACACACAGAGGGCATGGGTTTTGTTGATATATTCCTAGAGATGTACAATTTCTAGAAATTTTGAAGCCAGGGGAGAAAAATAATTCATTTCTGGGGGGAAAACTGAAATATTTCGAAAAACAAATTATATGCAGTCAGTTGATTCAGCAGAGCGTTTCCACATGCGGAAAGATTTCTGCCCATGGAGCACAACTTTCTCATCTTCCCCCTTCCACTACAGTCCAAAATGTCCCCGAAAAGCCATTCCCAGAATCACAATTTGGGTAGCAGTGAAGAGGGGGGTGGGCATGAGAAAGCTGCATTCTGGTCCTGACCTGGATAGCCCAGGCAAGTCCTATTTCGTCAGATCTTGGAAGCTAAACAGGGTTGACTGTGGTTAGTACTTGGATGAGAGGCTTCTTTGGAATACCAAGTCAGGAGGACAGAGGCAGGCTTTATTCAGCCACCTCTCTGAATATCCCCCAGTATGGGTCAGTCACCAGAGATCCTCCAGAAGTCAATGTGACTACTTCCAGGTGCAGACACACACGTGCACACATACAAAAAAATACCAAATAAATAAAAGAAAGCTGGATTCTGTAGGCCAAAGGCATCCCATCTGTGAATCTGTGTGTGTGTAATTATTTGAGTAGACCTGCTTAGGATTGCTCCCTTAGTGTGTGAACAATGTTCAGTAATTTCACTTTTTTCCTTTAAGTTAAACCATGTGATGGAAGTATATGCTATAGTGTTATTAAAAATAGAATACTAGATAGAGAGTAACTTTATAACATTGAAACCACTGAACACTTCTATAGGTTGTTAATTGTGAACAAAATTAATCAAATTTAAATAATAAAATGTGTCATTACCGGGGTCATTTCCTGTAGGAGCGCACAGGAGCGGAGCTCTAGCAGTAAAGAACCCAGGGGGCGGACACATGCAACAAGCCCTGCCCCCTGCTTCCAGCAGCTCTGGGCCACAAGGAGCAAGAAACAGCTAGGTAAGTTGCAGTGGGTGTTGCCTTCTGACACACTTCCGGTGATGTCAGGGGGTATGGGATATGCAAATAAGTTATGCTAATGAGTTATGCCAATGAGGTCTGCACCTCTTTTTCTACTAAATGACCCCTGATCATTACTATTTTGTTTATTACTACAGTATACACAGGAATTATTCTAGATTGTCATGCTACATGTTTGAGTAAAGAAAACCTTGTCTTGGAAAAATTAAAGAAATCCTTGTGTGAAAAAAATGTTATTTCTTCAATGTTCTGTTTTCCCCGAGTCTTCACATATACCTTAGAAAACATCACAAGACATTCTGCATGTTTCTCTTGCAAACTAAGAGAGATCCAATGGGTCAATAGTGATCTTACACCAAAGTAAAATGCTTGTCTGTAAAATTATCTGTATCCGAGGAAGTGAGCAGTAACTCACAAAAGCTCATACCCTACTACATATTTTGTTAGTGTTTAGGTTTCTACTATTTTTGCTCTTTTCTGCTGCTACAGACTGACTAACACGGCTACTCATCTTGTAATATTACCATTCAGCATTCCATGCTATGGAAATAGAATTGAGAATCTGTTTTCACAGCCTTGTTTAGAACCATAAGTACAGAGAAATTGTATTGACCTAAGCATTATTTAATTTCTCCTGTACTGAGTTTTTAGCTCCATCCCCTTTTTGGCATTAATATTGCTAAATGCCTCAGTTTGCTGCATGTAGAATGAGTTTCTGAATATCACATCGTTGATACTAGTAAAGATAAGCACATCTATCCTATAGGTCATATCTTGTCCAGACCACCAGTTAAGATCCTCTTCTAAAGTCTTCTCTCTGCACCCTCACCTGCAGAGGTATGGCAGAAGACGACCAGAGACAGGGCTTTTTCAGTGGTGGTGCCTTATGCTTGGAATGACCTCTCCCATGAATCTCACCTGGCACCTACCTTTCTTTTCTTTAGGTGCCAGACTAAAACATTTATATTTATCCAGGCTTTTAATTAAGGGGTTTTATATCTTTTCCCCTTTTATGGTGTGCTTCTGGCCTGATTTTTTAAAATCGGTATCATTTTAGGCTGCTCAATGTGTGTGTTATACTAATTTTGTGCCCTGACTTATTAGTGGCTGTGCTTTAATTGATTTAATTGTAAGTTGTCTTGAGCAGGTCTCAGGAGAGACAGTATATAACTTTCCCTATGAAGAAAGGTTAAAGCGCTTGGGGCTCTTTAGCTTGGGGAAACGATAGCTGAGGGGTGACATGGTAGAGGTTTACAAGATTATGCATGGGATAGAGCAGGTAGAGAAAGAAGTATTTCTCTCCCTTTCTCACAGTACAAGAACTCATGGGCACTCAATGAAATTGCTGAGCAGTCAAGTTAGAACAGATAAAAGGAAGGACTTCTTCACCCAAAGAGTGACATATGGAGCAGTGGTCCATCAGTGGCTATGAGCCACAAGGCATAGATCGGAACTCTCAGTCTGGGGCAAGTGATGTTCTGTATTCTTGGTGCTTGGGGGGGGCAACAGTGGGAGGGCTTCTAGTGTCCTGGCCCCACTGCTGGACCTCCTGATGGCTCATATTTTAAGTACCCGAGGGTACACTTTTATTTTTTTTTCCATTATATACTACAGACATACATACAAACACCCAACTACCCCCAACAACATATAACAAGAGACTTTTATCCCTTCTTCTGCTTATTACATTTCTAAATTCATTATCTGTTTTACTAAGCTTATCTTTTCTGCGTTCTCAAATTACTACATTTATCTATCAGTTGTGTTTACATTATACCAATCATAGAATCTCTTCCAAGTTTTTTGAAAAGTCCATTCTGTGCCGGCTCTCATCTCAAGTGTCAGTTTGTCATTTTCCGCCATTTCAAATAGTTTATTCACGTACTCCTGTTTCGTTGGTATTTCCATTATTTTCTAATATTTGGCAGATACTATCCTTGCAGCTGTCGACATATGAACTATCAAATACCTATCTGCTTTATCGAAGTCTTTTGGAAATATATTCAGTAACAGTATCTCTGGAGTAAATGGGATATTAGTTTTTGTTATTTTTTCCATTATCTCATGAATCCATCTCCAATACCTCTTTGTAACATCACATAGCCACCACATGTGATAAAAACAGCCAATCTTATTTTTACATTCCCAGCATTTATCAAAGCAGTTACTATTTTGTTTAGCTAATCTATCTGGTGTAATATACCATCTATAAAACATCTTATACATGTTCTCTTTATATGACACACCATTAGTTAATTTTATATTCTTCAGCCAAATTTGCTCCCACTCTTCTAAATTAATATTATGGCCTATATTCTGGGCCCATATAATCATATTTTGTTCACTATTTCATCCACCATCACATCATCCAATAAAACCTTGTATATTTTCT